TTGTCTGTATTGTGCTTGTGATATGTTGTAAAATGTTGTATGTCTGTTAATGTTTCCCTCCTTTTATCTTTAAAATAAAAAAATAAAAAAAAAGATTTATGCGACTGTAAGTTTTTAAAAAGCAAATGTACTTTAAAATCTTTTTTAAATAATTCAGAATTGGTTCTTAAATAGTAACGTTTTCAGGTATTAAATTCTAGACAATTCCAGCACAGGAGTACATCAAAGGTAAGTCATTCGTCTTTGAGGACATAATTCATTCCATTAATACTCACTTAAATACACTTCCTACATTTCCCTTTAGAAAATTCAAATTCGACATTACTCTACGAATTACTGAAAGACATTGGTACTTTAAAAGGAAAAAGAAAAACAAAAAAGAAAGAAAAGGATCAAAGAGTTCATCAGGCAAAAATGAACAGGACAACAGTTACAATGCTAAATGAAGAGCTACTCTGGGAAGCTGAGGCAGGAGGACCACAAGTTCAAGCCAAGCCTGGTCAATTTAGCAAGACCCTCTCTTAAAAAAAAAAAAAATTTAAAGTAAAATAAAAAGCTGGGAATTAGTTCAGTGCAAAGACCGTAAGTTCAATTCCCACTACAGCAAAAAATAAATAAAAATTAAATAGATTAATAGATAGATAAGTTGAAAGGGCTTGGGGAAGTAGCTCAGGCTTAGAGAAACCCTGATTTGATCCCCAGTTTTTTAAAAAAGAGAGTTAATAAATGGATCTGAAACAGATTTTAGCAGGAAAGAAAATATAAAACATGTTTGCTATCATAATAATCACATGGGAATATGATTTTGTAGTTGCAAACCATAGGTGGATTACATCCATAACAAAGATGGATTGAAAACTATATCATTCTTACAATGTTCTAATTGGGGAAAAATTCCAATTAGAAAAATAAACTGTGATTTAGGGTATGTTTCATCTCCTCTCTACTCCTCTACCCCAGACTCGCCTCTGACTTGTTAAACTTGACAAATGAAGCCCAGATTTTGCCAGGAGCCTGACAGCTGTGCTTCTCACTCAGACTCTTACACACTGACCCAGGCTCTCAAGTCTGCTCACTCAGGCACAAGAGATGAAATACACCAAGCTAAAAATGTCATGGGAGGTAAGCTGAAATAAAACCTACCTTGAAAGAGAGGCATGAAAACACACAATGAGAGCCATAAACCCAAGTGAAGGAGTCTCTGCCCTTTGCTGGCTGGCATGGTTAACACACACAGGAGCTATTTTTTGTAGGCAAAGAATTGTGGAAAACAAAGAGCTGGCAGACAGCTCTCCAACCTGACCTCTACTCACTGGAAGCCTGCTGCAATCCACACATGTCTGCTGTGAAATCAAAATACCACTGCATTCCTCGTCAGAGACCAAGGTGGGCATGAAGGGCAAGTATGGAGGGCTACATGCAGCACCAGCTGAGCTGTCACATCTCCTGTCACCCTTGCTCTCTTGCCCTGTGAGAGGGAAGGAAAGGCAACAGAGTGCAGTGCCTCAGACCTTCTACTCTCTCAACCGTAGCCTCTGGGGTAAATATGAGTCCCCTGAGCTCCAGTGTTAGCTGTAACACTGCGTTCTCCGGTTAATCAGGCCTTAACCGTATCTTATGATACTGATTCCTATCCTTGTCTTCCTAAGAGCAGATTAGGGAAAATAGAATTTACTCTTGTTTCTGTCATTGTTCTTTGATGCCTGAACTCTGAGGATCTTGTCATTTTGAGTACAGTGACCACCAAGCAGAACCGGAGGTCAGATGTCAGAGAGCCAGAGGGATCCTGTCCCACTGCTGCTCCCTGGACATTTTCATACACACTTAGACTTCTTTGTCATCAGCTGGGTTTCTTGCAATTTTCCTCTTCTCCTTATAAATGTAGTGCCAACCAAATTCTGATTAGTTGAGCCTTTCAGGTCAGATTCTGGTATTGGCTGTCAAGGAGGAAGCACTGAGAAGGGTCTCTCCACTTGCCTTCTACACTCTCTGCACATCCTGACTGTGCAGCCCACTGCACAAGGGCACGATTCAGACCAACAGCTTTCAAAATGCTGTGAGTCATTTCTCTTGAGGAAAGCAGAGAGTAACTAATGGTTGTTTAGTATCAAATTTAGACCAAGGCCCTAGCTGGGTGTTTCAGACTTGGTGGTCTGAGATGTTACTGGGGCTCTCTCCTTAGCCTCTAGGTAGGCTTTTGTCCTTAACCAGGCGTTGTGTGAAGTATGCAGAGCTTCAAATGGTAAAAAGTCAGGATAACACTTCCTGTGGTCGTTGAAATATCACTTCACACCCCAAATCCAACTTTTCCAAAGTGCAGATTTTAGTTGGTGTTTTTTTCATATTTTCTACTGCAGCACATTGCAGTCTCAAGAAAGTGGTTTTATTTAATCTCCCATCAGACAGGCTTGTTGTGCAACTACTGTGGAGGAGGAGTCCTTCGGAATGAAGCAAATGTTAGCTTCCACTTTCTTCCAGAAGAGCTACGTCTAACCTCCTGCACAAGGGTGCAGAGTAGGAGGACAGGAATGTCTTCTTGTTGTTGTTGTCATTGTCATTGTCTGTCATTAGAGTTGGAAAAGAAACCCAGGACTCACACATGCTGGGCAAGTGCTCCAGTACTGAGCTGTTAAACACCTAGCCCACTGGGAATTTTTTCTTTTTTTTATTTGAGTAGAGGTTGTGAAGTAGCCTTGACAGAGGCAAAATAATGCAAGTGAAAGAATATGCCCTTTGGAGTCAGCTAGACTTGGATTTGAATTCTGACCCTGATTTGCCTGAGAAACAGCAGGCAACGTCAGCTTTGTACTTATCAGAAAAATGTGATTAATTCAGCAACATTAATCATTTAATTTCTCCCTGTGCAATTTTGCACATAATTTTCACTCACTGTCCTAACACTACAAATAGGTAACACAAGTAGCTCTTGAGACTGCAAATTTTAAGGAGAATACATATATTTTAAATGCTGTAAGAAGGTAATTCTCCATACAAATTGTCCCACCATTAGAAAAATGTTTGAGGCTTGTCATTGAATTATGAGTTTATGTTCTGCTTCAAACTTTTCAAAAATTTCCGAGATGGACCTTAAAAACAAATACACTGGAGAAATAAGCCTGCTTTCAAAAAATGTTAATTCCAGAAAGAAAAGTGGGGGTGTAGCTCAGTGGTAGAGAGTTTACCTCACATGTTTGAACCCTGGGATCCATTGCCAGTGCTACAAAGGAAATAAAGGAAGTCATCAAGTTTTTCCTAATATTGCTGAATACTGTTTCTTACTCATATTCTAGGAGTTAGCTCTTGCTCTGTGTTACTGTTGAATAAACAAAAATTTCAAGCACTGTCCGTGGCTTACAGAGAAAAAACAATGAAAGGAGGTGGGGGAGGAGCAGAGAGCCTTGGGCAGGAAAATCCTATGAAAGCTGAAGGATCCTTCAGCAACCTTCTTCCTTTGCCTCCCATCCCCCTTCAATCCCGCATTTGTCTTAGCCAATTCTAAGAGAAAATAGGAAGAAACAATAGTTTCTAACTTTTTCAAGGTTATATAATCTGTTAAAAACTCTTCCTCTTCTCAAATATACATATGCATATTAAATAGAATTTTCCATATAATTTCAGGGAACTCACCTGCTTCCTGGAAGGCATTAACTCCTTAGTGGAAGGTAACCATATCTGATTTCCTAGTTTTCCCCAGTATCTGTTACCAGTCATTCTATATCATTCATTCTATTTATGTAGTTTTAAAATGTATATATACTGGTGCTGAGAACTGAACCCACACCTCAAGCACACTGAGCACACTAAGCATGTACTATACCCCAACCCACCATTCTTTCTAAAATAACACATTTTAAAAAGCTAATGTGGGCCATCTGATTGAACAAGAGACCAACACCCACACTCAAAAGGAGAATTTCACTTTAGGACAAAGATCACCACAGAAAACATAACAAAAATTTTTTCTTTAGAAATAGAAAATGTTGAAATGAAGGATCAAAATGCAATTTGCAGCTCTCCAACCCATCCAGAAAAAGCCCAGTAGACATTGACATAGAAGAACGTGGAAGTCACACACCTGAAATTTCTGAAATGATAGCAAATGAAGTAAAGAAACAACTCCATCAGGCTATAGAAGAAATCAGGTCAGAAATAATCTCTCAGGTAAAAAAGAAATGACAACAATAAAGAAAGAATTGCTTAGCATATCCAAAGAAGACATTGATAAGAAAATAGAAAGGCACAGAAAACTCCTGGAAACCTTGAATGAACAATACAGGAAAGAATTATGATGTATGAAATAGATACAAACAGATATCCAGGAAATTGAAAATTCCACCCCAAAGCTGGCAAAACCTCTTGAATGAAGCTGAAGATAGACTCTCAGACCTTGAGGATACATTTCAGTTAATGAACATGAAAGGAAATATCTCTTAAAAATAACAAGGAATGAACAAATAGCAGTTCAACAGCTGCAAGATGATGCAAAGAAACACAATGTAAGACTAATAGGTGTCAAGGAAAAAGCAAGAGTCAACACAAATGACATAAAAAGAATATTTGCAGAAGTGATAGCAGAAAATGTCCCAAGCATGGAAAAAGAATCTGACATGGAGTTAGTGAGGCTTATAGAAGGTTAACTAGCCATAACCAAAATAAATCTACACCCAGACATATAATAATCAAGATCAGAGAAATTCAGCAAAAGAACAGAATATTAAAAGCTATTAGAGAAAAGAAACAGATGATCTATAAAGAAAAGCTCATCAGAATCACTGCAGATCTCAATACAAACTATGAAGTCAAGCAGAGTTTGGAGTGAAGTACTTCAGATCCTGAAAGAAAACAACTTCCAACCCAGATTGATGTAACCTGTACACCTATCTTTCAAAATTAGTGGAGAAATAAGATACTTCCACAATAAAGAACAACTGAAACAATTCATGCACACCAAACCCTATACAGAGTACTGAAATATATTTTAGAAAGTGATAAAAATGACTACAGTTCCAAGAACAACAATCCAAAGAACCAACAAGGAGAGCAAGTAATAAAACAGAAGAAAAGGAGGGAACCAATAGCAGGAAAATAACATGACAAAGACAAACCAATACATATCAGTAATAGTTATTAATGGAGATGGCCTCACTTCATCAATCAAAATAAGCAGGATGGCAAAGTAGATCAAGAAACAAAGTCCAACAATATGTTATATACAAGAAACATATTTAATGCGAAAGAAAATTGTAGACTGAAAGTCAAATGATGGAAAATAATACTCCATGTGACAGGAACCCAGAAAAAAGCAGGGATTGCTATTCTATTTGCAGACAATGTGACATTAAAACTAAGAATGATCAAAAGAGATAAAGAAGGTCACTACATACTAGTTAAGGGAAAAATGCAAGAGGAAGAGATAACAATCATAAATATTTATGCACCAAATACAGGAGCACCCAACTATATAAGACAATTTTTAACAGACAGGAAAAATCAAATAAGCAATAACACAGTCATAGCAGGGGATCATAGTACACCATTGTGTCAAAGACATAGATCAATTAGACAAAAAAATCAGCAAAGAAATAAAAGAATTAATCCACACTTGTGAACAAATGGACCTAGTAGACCTTTGCAGAGTGTTTCACCTGACAACATAAGAATACACATCCTTCTCAGGTGCACATGTGATGTTCTCTAAAATAGACCATATACTAGCCCATGGAACATGTTTAATTAAATGCAAAAGAGTTGAAATTATTCCATCATACTATGGGACCATAGGCAATGAAACTGGAAATTATTGATAAAAGAAATCACAAAACTTCACGAACACATGGAAATTAAATAACATCCTCCTAAACAACCAATGGGTAGCAGATGAAATTAAAGAAGAAATTAAATATTTACAATCAAATGAAAAAGCAGATACAACTTAATGGAACCAGTGGTATGCAATGAAAGCAGTCCTCAGAGGGAAATTTATAGCAGTGAATTCCCACCTCAGGAAAACAGAAAGAACACATATAAACAACATTATGCTGCAACTGAAGCTTCTAGAGAAAGAAGAGCAAGTCAAGGCAAAGCCCAAAACAGGGAGAAACAATGAAGAGCAGAGCAGAAATCAATTCAATGGAAACTAAGAAAATAATACAAAGAATAAATAAATTGAAAAGTTGGTTCTTTGAAAGACCAAATAAAATTGATAAACCCCTAGCCAACTTT